GACCCCCCCTAAACTATTTTTTAGTGTATTATTGAGGGTATCATCAGCTTAGCTGGATGAGCAAGTGGCCACGTGGCAGCCTGTTTGTCAGGCGCGTGTGTGCCACCTATTGGACAAAAAATTGGGTTTGACCTTTAAAAGAGGTAATAATTCCACTTCAAAATAATATGGGGGGGGTCATAGGACCCCCGCAAAGTTGGAGTGTGTAACAGCAAATTTGGTCAAAGTTTGTATGCGTTTTGAATTTTTTTCCCAAAAATAAAGGGTAATGCTAAATGACCAGAAATATTTGGCCAGAAATGTAAAAAGACTAGAATATCCTTGTTTTAATTTTTGCATTTATTTCCTCAATACTTTTCCCTCCAAACAAAACTAACTTTTTTATATTTCCCAAACTCCTTGAACTACTAAAACACAAACTATTTGGCTGCCAAGGGAAATGAAAAAATGTTTTTGTGTATATTTTTGTGTGTATAGTTTATCCGATTTATTTTTAAAAATAAATATTGTTTAGTTAATAAAAAAATTGTACGCTTTAGTTTTTAAAAAAAATTGTAATTTTATTTTATACATTAATATTTTTTTCATTATATACCAAATTATGTTCTACATATACATAACATACATTCCTTCCTCTACCCCTCCCCTGAACTCAATTATGATCGTAAGGTGCCAACGCATACCTTTGAAAATTTATTTTTTCGCTTAAAATAAACCTCTTTATTGAAAAGAGACAATTAAATTTCTCATTAATAATAACAACAAATGACTATCTTATCTACTTAAGATTATACTTAATTATTTTGTAATACAAAATTAGTAAAATATAGTAATTAAGCGTAGATTAAAAGAGTTTAATTAAATTTTTCTTTAAATATAATCAACTAAATAGATTAGTCTATATAATGGATGTTTTTCAAGAGAAAAAAATTATTTTGAAATTTAGATATTTCTAAAAATAATTGATGATAAGACATATATAACTATGCCATAAATAATACATTAATTTTTTATATTATAATCATTCCACACAAGAATTAACATATATAGAAAATGGTGAAATTATTTCACTAATTTTAACCATGAATAAAAAATTCAGTTATTCCAATAATATTAATTAAGTGGATATTTCAAAACAAATGAATAAAAGATCACTCAATACCTACTTATCAATTATAATACTTTAAAATAGATGTATTTTATGTATATAATAAATTACAATATGTTTAATGTGTATAAATAAAGTATAACATAACTAGGATATATAAATATATTTTTAAATATTTTCATTTAATGTAGAATTTTAATATTTCAATAACGATAATCAAAACTCAAAATACTTAAGAATTGATAGACATCGGCACATTGTAGAAATACATAAAAAATTTATTAATATGTAGTTTAATTTTTTAAAACATAATAGCCAAACATAAAATTTAAATATGATGTTTAATTTTTCAAAACATAATAATTAACAAATATGCAATATTACAACATTAATGTGTAACTATCTTGGGTTTATTGTTACATAGGATATACACTTATGAATCATATGATTTTTAGTATTTCTTTAATGTGTTGATGTCTAACAATTCTAAAGTATTTTAAGTTTTGATTGTTATTATTGAACTATTTTACATTATATATATAAAATTATTTAAAATGTAATTTAAATAGGTAATTTAAATTTATTTATATAATAAATGCAATAAAATTACTTAATTTTAAAAATTCTTAATCAGTTTGAAACAAATATTAATTTGAGAGCAAAAAAAAAAAATGTGACTACAACTATGTATACTTAATATTTTAGCATATCATTTAATAACAATTTTTTTTTTTATAAAACAACAAATAATACTAATAAAGAAAAATATATATGTGATGAAACTTTAATCTAGTTCATGCTTAACAAATTTGTGTTGTCATTATCATCGGAGAACTATGAAGATGTTTTTCTTTCAATTTTTTTTAATAAAAGTTTATTTTGAAATCATAAAGAACTTTCTATATCCTTTCCGTGTTATTATAATTTTTCAATGAAGCATCATCAACATTTTTATCCAAAAAAAAATTGTATACGTCTCTAGTACTAAAATAATAAATAAAAATTAATTCTAATGAGTCTTTGTTTGTGTATGATGTGATTCATATGCAATCGAAGATATGAAGACAATCACATAAGAGGAAACATGATGGTAATTTGAGTTTTCTTCATATTTTGTTCACATATATTCTGAGTATAATTAGATAAAATATATTTTATCATTAATTTTTTTTAGAAAATCAATGCGTAACAACAACTCCTTTAAATAAATAAGAGTAATTGTTTAGCCAACTCAGTCAATTTCAGATTTTATTTTTGAGTGTTGTTGATATAAATTTTTAATATTTAAATTTAGATATAAATTATCTTTTCACGATTAGAAATTAGAAATTCAAATAGATAATCTACACTTTACTCTCTTTTATACTTTTCAAAAAAATCCTTATCATTAAGAAATAAGAAATGGAAAATAAATAAACAAAAAAAAAAGTAAAACGGGGAAAATTTTGAAATTGATAAAGAGATATATTTTTTTATTTTTTTACTACTACTGTAATATATATATATATATATATATATATATATATATATACACTAGACATCGGAGCCCGTGCTAGCACGGCCCCAATATGTATCATTTTTTGTTTTAATTTATGTGACAAAGACAAAATTAAAGAGTTAATCAAACTTTAATATTAATTTAAAATAGTTTAAATTTTTAATTATTGTTAACTATGGTAAAAAAAATTTTATGTCTTTTAACATTCTAAATTGCTAATTATTGTTGTATGATTTGTAATATCTTTTACGCAATTTTGAAATAATAAAGGTTATTTCTTCTTTCTCAATTTATGTGGTACTAATAAAATTTCGAGATTCAATCAATTTTTTTTGTCTTTAAAATATTCTATTGTTAATTACTGTAAATTATTGTACTTTCTAAGTAATTTTCAAATAATATATATTATTTTATTTGTCACCGATAAAATTTGAAGAGTTAATCAGATCTTTTACATATTTTTATATCTTTTGAATATTTAAGTAAATAATTATTGTGATTTATAATATTTTATACAATTATTTTTTAAAAAAAAATAACAAACAAAACGAATTCATCATAGGAAAATTACCAAAGCATCCTTGAATACATCAATAATGGGTCCCACTTTTTGTTTAAAAGAATATGCATATTGGGAGGATATTTTTGTCCAAAGTGGAAATAGAATAAGTATAAAGCATTAAAGTCTTTTAAAATTTTAAATTGTTAATTTTTATTGTATGATTTGTAATACTTTTACGCCATTTTCAAATAATAGAGGTCATTTCTTCTTTTTCAATTTATGTAGTACTAAAAAAAATTTGAGATTCAATTAATTTTTTTTGTCTTTGAAATATTTCTAGTTGTTAATTACTGTAATTTATAGTACTTTCTAAGAAATTTTCAAATAATATATATTATTTCATTTGTCCCAATTTATATGTCACCGGTAAAATTTGAAGAGTCAATTAGATCTTTTATATATTTTTATATCATTTAAATATTTAAGTAATTAATTATCATGATTCATAATATTTTATACAATTACTTAGTATAGTAAAATAATTTTAAAAGAAACAAACAAAACGAATTCATCATAGGAAATTACCAAAGCATCCTTCAATACATCAATAATGGGTCCGACTTTTTGTTTTTAAGAAATTGCACATTCGAAGGATATTTTTGTCCAAAGTGGAAATATTGTGTAAAAAATGTGTATTTATTGTGATTTTGAATGTTTTGTGGGGTAATAGGACGCACACAAAGTTAATGTGTCTTTTTGAAAATTTGGGACAACTTTAAGTATCACTTAATGTTTTTTCTCAAAATCTAATTTACTTTCATAAACTATGTGTCAGATCAAAATCAGATTAACAAATTCAAAAGGAATGGGTAATAAATAGCTCATACAATGACATTAAATAATAAATATGTAACTAAAAATCTTGTTAGCTTTTGGTTGAAAGCTAACAAGATAGTTACAATGATAGTTGCATTGTGACTTATTATATCTATCTTTTAAATATTTAAATAATTAATTATCATGATTCATAATATTTTATACAATTATTTAGTATAGTAAAATAAATTTAAAAGAAACAAACAAAACGAATTCATCATAGGAAATTACCAAAGCATTCTTCAATACATTAATAATGGGTCCGACTTTTTGTTTTTAAGAAATTGCACATTCGAAGGATATTTTTGTCCAAAGTGGAAATATTGTGTAAAAAATGTGTATTTATTGTGATTTTGAATGTTTTGTGGGGTAATAGGACGCACACAAAGTTAAGGTGTCTTTTTGAAAATTTGGGACAACTTCAAGTATCACTTAATGCTTTTTCTCAAAATCTAATTTACTTTCGTAAACTATGTGTCAGATCAAAATCAGATTAACAAATTCAAAAGGAATGAGTAATAAATAGCTCATACAATGACATATTTATTATTTAACTAAATAATAAATATGTAACTAAAAATCTTGTTAGGTTTTGGTTGAAACCTAACAAGATAATTATAATGATAATTGCATTGTGACTTATTATATATATATATATTATTTTTTATTTTTTTAGATCTTGAAAATTTCAAGTGAGAAGAGTGGGTGAGAATTATGTTTTCTTTCGTCAATTTTTTGGTTTCTTTCCCATGTTTAACTATGAAATCATCAATAATTAATCTCATTAATCATTTTCAATGTATTGGAAACATAATTGAAGAATATATTTAATATTTAAGTTAAAGGGTAAAAATATCAAAAAACAAACTAGTTTATAATGTGAACATGTCTTTTTTCTCATTCTGGCCAAATTATGGCCAAAAGGATTTTTCCAAAAATAAATACTTAATTGAGATATTTGTGTAATTTTTCCTTTGCCCTGCTTTGAGGTTTCGCTAGGATTCTCAATTTCTCACAGAGCCGCCTCACACTGTATCCGCAACCCGTTCCACAACCCATTTTCCCTTTCATTCCGGTTCACCTTCTCCATCACCGGCAGACGGCGGTAAGTGGAGAACGAAGATGACGGAAGTCGCGAGCAACGTTGTACACGAAATCCTAGGCAGACGAGCTCAAGATGTAGATCAGCCTATTATCGACTATATTATCAATGTCGTCGCCGATGAAGATTTCGATTTTGGGCACGACGGTGAAGGTGCTTTTGAAGCCCTTGGAGAGCTACTCGTCGATTCCGGTTGTGTTACTGACTTCTCCGAATGTCGTGCGGTATTCTTACTTCCATTCCATGCTCAATTTCGTTGTTGCTTTGGCTAATTTTGATATTTTTCTGCTCAAAATTTGTTCTATTGAATTGATTTTGAAAGATGTGCTTATTATACTGTTAAGATATTTTTCTTCTTATATTGAATTGATTCTGAATGATGTGCTTATTATACTGTTAATAGTTTGGATTATTGACTAGGGACAGAATTTACGAACTAAATAAGATTTTTGAAACTTGTGGTCTAAATAAGCCATAGACATTTGTGTGGCTACTAATTATCTCGCATTTAAGAGTGGAAATGAGAACTTAAAAGTTAAATCCTCTTTGGATATAGGGAAACTGCCATTCTTTTTAGTAGTTTAAGAGTGAAAAGTGAGAAGTTTAAAGTTAAACCTTCAGGCATGACCCAAGCTAGTCTAAACAAGGAGAAGAGCATATTCCAAAAGTCTTTTCAAGCTAGTCTAAACAAGGAGAAGACCATATTCCAAAGTCTCTTGCTACTGTAAACAAGGACAGGTTTTGATGAATAAAATTTGGACTTAAAAGTTAACTGATTATTAGCTTCGGTTTATCATTTATAAGCAACGATTGTGTGATTTAGTTAGAGAGCTTATGATAGCCTCAAAAGAAAAATCATTTATAAGCGAAGTAGAATCTGATGATTTGGTCTGAAATAGAGAGTGACCAACATTGTTTTGGACTTAGGCGTTGTCAGTTGAATTGATTTGGTATTAGCTCATTTATGATTAGAGGACTTCTTAAACCAGAGAAATAAACAGCCATTTAAGGGGACATAGGAATTCAAATGGGTGAATAACTCTCATTATAGAGCAATGTGTGAACTAAAAAGTTTAAGTATAATACGGTGAACAAAATTACAAGTAATTTATTAGTACCAAAATTTATGGTTATACCAGCATTATTATTGTGGTTGTTACTCCTCTATGTAGATCTTTGTTGCATCCCGTTGTATTTATAGATTGAATGTCTGCAATCTATTTTCAGTAGCATTTTCCAACCATGACAGGTTTGTAGCAAGTTGTCTGAGAAGTTAGAGAAGCAAGAATTGGCTAAACCCCAACCGACGGTGAGAAGCTTAAAAATGCCACTGAGAATGTTTGATGGAATGGATGAAGAGGAAGCTCCAAAGAATAAAAAGCCAGAACCAGTTGATGGTCCTTTGCTCACAGAACGTGACAAGATTAAGATTGAAAGAAGGAAGAGGAAAGAGGAACGCCTGAGAGAGGTGAGTGAGAAAACGATAATCTTGACAGTAGTCAGAATGAACCTGTTTGACACAAATATTGGTTGTTAAATAAATATGTTGGGGAAGCCAGCTCTTATTGTCTATGAACTACACTGATTTGACTTAACACTTCACTGAGTTTCCATTTATCATTCTAATGGGGGGTGTTTGTGTGTGACATTTTACAATACTCCTTTTGTTGGATAATGGTTGTCTTCATGAAGTTATGAGACAGAATAAATGTAATCCCTCTCCTATTACTGCTTTACAAATTGTAACCCTCTCCTTTCTGCCATGTGGATGAAAAGAAGAGGGAAAAAAAGAAGAAGCCCCCAAGGCCTAGCTCAAGTGGCAAAAGGTGGAGGATTTGTGGCTTAGGTCGCAGGTTCAAGCCCCACACCATGCAAAGCGAAGCCCGGTATTTAAGTGGAGAAGGTTAGAAGGGCGGGACCATTATCCACCAAGTTTAGAAGGCTGTGATTGGTCCAAAGGGCGGGTCACAAGCAAATTTCTCGGTTAACCAAAAAAAAAAAGAAGGAAGATGAAAGTGGCTGGTTTACTCCTTCATTCTTTTAATCTGTATGGCTTGATTCTGCAGGCAGAATACCAAGAACACTTGAAAGAAGTGGAGGAAGTGAAAGCTGGTATGCCTTTAGTGTGTGTGAGTCATGATGGTCAAGGTGATGGACCAACTGTTAAGGATATCCGTATGGAAAACTTCAATATATCTGTCGGTGGTCGTGAACTTATTGTCGATGGTTCTGTCACACTTTCTTTTGGAAGACACTACGGTATGCTTGATTATCTAATTGAAAAAATAGATAAAAACTCATTCCCATGTAGTTTGATTTTACATTTTCTTAGACCTTTTAGTATCAAGTAGTTTGTATCTCATCTATATGGTATTACTCCCTCCTTGCCGATAAGAACGGCCCACTTTTGCAGAGTCAAATCATGAGTTCATGACATCTTTGAACATGTTATTTAGAAATAGTTTGATTTCTATTTAAATTGATAGCACTTATCTAAAACAATGTTAAAAATGATAGTTTGGAATTTGAGAAGTTGGGAAGTTTTTCGAAAATTCACATCAGATTGGATATAATACAAGATTGACCTAGTTTATACTCATTCATTTAGAAGTGTTGGAGGGAGAATTTTTTTTCATCAAGGCGAGAAGTCAAGAATATTGGATTGGGCTAAAAGGAAAATATGCCATTTTTCAGAGGGTGCGAGTATCTATCTATCTTGATAAACATTTAGGGGTCGTTTGGTAGGATGTATTACATCTTTAATACATGTATTAGTCATGGTATTTTTTAATCCTTTATTTGGTAGGATTTTCTGCCTATGTATAACTAATGTATTAGTTATACACCCTATTCAGTATTATAAGTTGTATAACTAAGACATAGTAAATTATGGTATTAGCAATACAAGGGCTATTAATACATGGATAAGCATGCTTAAAGACATAATTGCCCTTAATAACCAAACCAAACAGTGGATAAGAAATATCCTCCGGATAACAAATCTCTGCATTATTAATCCTAGTATTACTAATACATTCCATTGATCTATTCAGTACTATTCTTATACACCCTACCAAATGACCCCTTAGTGTCTTAAGCAAGTAAGTCATCATGCACACATCCATTATTTTGTCACTGGGAAGAAGACTGGAATACATGAATTGGCATAAATGCCAAGGGGGTGAAACTTAGGGGAATATATTTCGTCAAACAACAACATAGCCTATAGCCAGTGTATATTGGCATTTTTTGCTGTTTATTTATTAATGAAATTTATTACTTTCTCAATAAAAAACCTAGCCTATAGCCAGCGGCGTAGTTCACTTCCTCTTTTTGTTTGTGATTGGCAGTTATGTTTTATGCATCCACTGCCTTACCTGACTCTGTAATTTGGATGCAGGTCTTATTGGAAGAAACGGTACAGGGAAAACAACTCTCCTAAGGCATATGGCTATGCACGCTATCGATGGTATTCCCAGGAACTGCCAGATATTGCATGTTGAGCAAGAAGTGGTTGGTGATAATACCTCAGTTTTGCAATGTATTCTTAACACTGATATGGAGAGAACCCAACTTCTGGAAGAAGAGGCTCATCTGCTTGAATTACAGGTTAGAAACAGTTCAATGGCTAAGCTTTTTTGTCATATTATACTGTTTATTTTTTAATATTCCTTTGTATTTTGTTCTCATTGGATCAAGTATATTCCCATTCCTTAGCATTTTCATGATTTTCTAGAGAGTGACTGACTTAGAAGGTGAAGCTGCAAAGAGTGATAAGTTGAATGGGGGGATCGACAAAAATTCCCAAGCAAAAAGGCTTGAAGAGATATACAAAAGACTTGATTTCATTGATGCTTACTCGGCTGAGTCACGTGCAGCAACTATACTATCGGTTAGTTTGACTTTGACTTGTAATTCGATTTGCAAGCTTTTGATCACATCAGTCTCTTAATAACTGTTGAGAAAGTTTGTTCACTTTATGTATCTTCTTGATGCTCTTTTTACTGAAACCACTTGCTTCATAAAAATAAAGTTTATTCACTTTATGCACTATGTTTAATTAAAACAGAGTTTGCATTTGATGTATAATATCGCACACAAATGCTGTATATTAGAAACAAACTGCAGATGCTAATTTATAATGTATGAGCAAGATTCAGTCTACTAATTCATGTACCTGATATACCTGTTCCTTTCCTTTCGTTGCTACTATGATTATGCTTCCGCTTACTTTGTCTAAGGAATATGTTTTGGATATGGCTTGAAAGTATTGAAGCTAGTCTCAAGCTAATCTTGCTGTTTTTGCCTCTCCTTAGAATTTAAGTTGTTTTAGCTTCTGTCGTAACTTCACGTTAGCCGTACTATCTTGCTGTTTTGGCCTCTCCTTAGAGTTTAAGTTGTCTGTTGAGATTATTTTTTCTCTTATAATTTAATGTTGTCTTGTCGTTTTATGCTTCTATTTCTAGAATAGATGTATGGTCTTCTTATATTTGTATAGATTCAGGCTTCCATAACTTCGGCATTATACTCTTTATACGTTTAAGCTGTGGATCTGTGTACTAACATCTTAAACAGAAAGTTGTGAATGGGGGAAGATGCTAGAAGTTAATCTATCTTTGGAAATCGAAAGTTAGAACTCATTTATTTAAGAGGCTGGGTTTGATTCTGCTGTAGTTTTGGCGTTCTTCAAGTTGGATGCTTCTCCACCTCAATTTTTCTTATGATGTTTTGCCTATTGATTGTTTGTGTTCACACCAGTTGTAATGAATGGTCTAGTTCTCAATTGGTGGCTATTACTTCCAGGGTTTGAGTTTCTCTCCAGAAATGCAAAAGAGAGCGACTAAAACATTTTCTGGAGGATGGAGAATGAGAATAGCTCTTGCTCGGGCATTATTCATTGAACCTGATCTATTGTTGCTTGATGAACCCACGGTGTGTTATTTCTTCTTGAGGATGTAGATGTACATCTATTCAAATAATGAACTTATGTTTTCTTTTGCATGCAGAATATCATAGAACTTATGTTTTCCTTCCCTTGCAGAATCATCTTGATCTGCATGCTGTCTTATGGCTGGAAACTTACCTGGTGAAGTGGCCGAAGACATTTATAGTTGTCTCTCATGCTAGAGAGTTCTTGAATTCTGTACGTGCTTTCTTCTCTTTGACCTAAAACACTAGTTGGGTTCAGTATGTATAGATGTTGATGTTTGTTCTGACATCTCATAAACCTATCTTTGCTTCTTTCTTCAGGTAGTCACAGATATCATCCATCTACAAAATCAGAAATTGAGCACCTTTAAAGGAGACTATGATACATTTGAAAGAACACGAGAAGAACAAGTTAAGAATCAACAGAAGGCATTCGAGGCAAATGAACGCACAAGGGCGCACATGCAGGTCTTTCCCAATTACATTTGCTTTTATTGGTAGACTATTGCAAGCAGATTATTTGCGACCTTATTTGCAGATTTCTTGTCTCGCTGTTTAATACTTTGATACATTTTTTGGTTATAATGTTGTGCAGGTCTTTATTGATAAGTTCAGGTACAATGCAAAGCGTGCATCTCTTGTTCAATCTAGAATTAAGGTATGCATTCATTGCTGCTCCTATATATGTTGTCAGTTTCCAGTTGTTATGGTTGTTTGGTCAAGTGATATAATCAGTTGCTCGATCCGATTGTTTAATAATTTAATTAGGTCCACTTTTGATGCCTTAGCATGCCATGATCAGTACCTGAATCGTTTTCCTTGAATTTGACAGGCACTGGAACGTATTGGTCGCGTGGATGAAGTCATCAATGATCCTGAGTACACATTCATTCCTTTAACACATTGCTCCTATATGTTTCTGTTATTTTAACTCTCCGATGGTGTTTAACATGCTATAACCTGAATCTATAAAATTCCGATCGCTGTCATGTTGCATTTTTTTAATTATATGAACTCATGGTTATTTTGCATATGCTGTATGCAGCTACAAGTTTGAGTTCCCTTCTCCTGATGATAGACCTGGCGCTCCTATTATAAGCTTCAGGTTAAGCATCTCTTAGTCTGTGGCTAAGACATTCTTGTGATCTCTTGTCAGACAGCAAATCTCAGCTAATTAACTTCTTACCTTATTGTAACTAATGCAGTGACGCATCCTTTGGATATCCTGGGGGACCAATATTGTTCAAAAATTTGAATTTTGGAATAGATTTGGATAGCAGAGTAGCAAGTAAGACTTTATTGCCTAACAATCAAGTATTTTCAAGTTCTCTCAACTGTTGCAAACCTTTGTAAACTATACGTATTGGTCAGTAATATGTCTCTCTGCACTTGACGTTGAGTTTTTCTGTTGGGAAGTAAAATTAGATCTCTCTATTTGTGAGTTAGGTAGCATGTGGCTTTGGCATGTGTATCTTTATAATTGTTTTTTAATCATTTTTACTGTTCTACATATCATGGACCTTGTCTCACCTTATGTATTTTCCAGTGGTTGGTCCTAATGGTATTGGAAAGTCAACAATACTTAAGCTTATTTCTGGGGATCTTCAACCAACCTCAGGGACTGTTTTCCGCTCTGCTAAGGTAAGCTTTATTTGCCAAAGACTTAGGAGATTTTGTGAGTTTTTTTTAAAAATCACTTTTAACTTCTACTAGTTCTGTCCTTAACATCATATATTCACCAACTTTTGTCAGTGTACCATATTGTCTGATCAATATGTGTTTCAGCCGTATTCTAGCATTCTCTCATTACAATTCCTGTCGCCTTTTCGTTAGAGAAGTCTATAGACTAATAATTTTGTATGAGCAAATGCTAGTGGGTGTTCTTTTGACCTTGTAATCATTCGTGCAGGCAAATGTCTCATTTTGCTCTATTCAGTTACTTGGTCTTAATGCATTCTAAATGTACTTCACTTTTTGTTTAGGTCCGCATTGCTGTATTTAGTCAGCATCATGTTGATGGGCTGGATCTGTCCTCAAATCCCCTCTTATACATGATGCGTTGCTTTCCAGTAAGTTCTCCTAATCAATGATGTATTTTCTGGTAAATTCTAAAATATATGTGTGTAATAAGTTCTCTCAAAAGAAGGTGGGTATAGCAGTTGATTTTTCTGAATTTATTTGTCTGAACTCCTGAATAAGATATTTTTAAAGGTTTAATTGCTCTCTTACATCTGATATTGTCAAAGTGAATCTGCAAGTTCTCTCTTTTAATGTATTGACCTTGCTCTGGCTTCCTGCAGGGAGTGCCTGAACAAAAATTACGTGGTCATCTAGGTTCATTTGGTATCACTGGAAATCTTGCTCTTCAGCCCATGTACACTTTGTCTGGTATGTTAGCATTCTACTTGTTTTTTTCTGGTTTAGATCTCAATGATTCTACTTGTTTTTTTCTGGTTTATGGATTGATCTATGGGATCTCAGGTGGCCAAAAAAGCAGAGTTGCATTTGCAAAGATAACTTTCAAGAAACCTCACATATTGCTTCTTGATGAGCCATCAAATCACTTGGTAAGTTCTATTCTACTTGTTTTAGTTTCTTATTCACCATCTTTTCTTCATACATCCGTGATTTCAATGTCTTCTTGTTGCTGAATAACATACTTGGTGGGAGTAAAAAGTGGAAGCTTGCAGCCTTGCCTCGGGAACATAGAAAGCCCAAATTTTTAACTAACGCGTTTGTGGGTTTTAGGAAGGGCCTAGTGTGGTTTCATTATTTTTTCTTGATGGCATTTAACCTCAACAGCTAAAGCAAAGGATGTACTTAGTATTTCATTTATCCAAAGATTCTTGCATAAGCAATTGCATTATCTAATCGAGCTCTATGCAGGATCTTGACGCTGTGGAGGCCTTGATACAAGGTCTTGTCTTGTTCCAAGGAGGCGTCCTGATGGTACTATGAAACTTCTGTCAATTAATTTTTTGGCTAAATGGTAACATATTTTTGGTTTTGCTGGTGTTTAATGGTGGTGCTACATGATGTTATTTACAGGTCAGTCACGATGAGCATTTAACATCTGGTAGTGTTGATCAACTCTGGGCTGTCTCTGAGGGCAGGGTGATGCCTTTCGACGGGACATTCCAAGATTACAAGAAAATACTGCAATCATAAACGGTTCTAACAAAGGCTGCTGCTTTCTGAAGTGAACGAAGTATTATTAGTTTACCTATGGCCTAAACCCCTACTTTATATGCAGAGACCACATTTAAAATTTCGAACGACCAATGTCCTAAAAAAAATAGTGTTTTTATGCTACTACTTATTTCTATTTACACTGTCCAAATTAGTCAAACATTTTCTCGATTTGATCAACTTTGGGCTTCAATTTTATATTAGACAAATAGATGAAACGAAAAAGTGTTATTATTACGACAATTTAGTGCAAACAGGAGTTCAATCCAACTTGCGAGTCAATAGTGAAAGAGCAAAATATCCACCAACAATCAACACATATTTCCAACTCCATTGCTAAGGGCCGCTATGGTGGCAAATGGACAGATTAAGTTGCAAACACGTGGACTATCAAAACAATGACAACTATCCATTCAAATCAATTAAGTTAAAGACCGATTATATGAATTTTTACTAATATACGAATCGAGGAAATCAATAAAGCGGAGAAAAAAGAAAAATAAATTGCGCATCCGGGGAATCGAACCCCGGTCAGTACCGTGGGAGGGTACTATGATACCACTACACCAGATGCGCTTTCTTGTTTCTTAATGTAGCAAATATTAAATTATTTTATATCATATATTCATATTGTATTTTTTTGCCGAAGAAGGATGACTATGTTTAATAACTTGAATAACTAATATGGGATGGAGGGAGAAGTAAAGCCTATTTTTTGCAGGGAGGATTTCCTACAATTGGTCTTTCATGGTTGCCAATGCTCTCGAAAAACAGTTTCTGCTACTCTCCGAAACACTTATTTTCTCCCAGAAACTTGATAAAACAAGTTATATATTAATCGCCTTTTCAACTCAGGACTTCATAGGATTTTGATGTGAAAATAAGCTGCAAAACACTACACATGACTAGGAAATGATGTAAAAAAAAATTCCTAATCTAAAATACACAGTTCACACTTGATGAAGTTATAGTACTTGGATTAAGCAGTACTCTCCCTATTTCCTACATTACAAAATTCAGCCTAATTAGAAAAATGGTAAATACAGGACTGTTAAAATGCATCCACTTTCTTCAATCTGACTTGAATCTTTGGGTAGACTCTGCACGGAGTATGGTACAATCATTCTAATCAACACGTTCCTTCCAGCATAGTAACATGTATAGACATCGACGAATAATATACAACTTAGCTCTTTTATCTTTCAAAGTCTTTTTTCTTGTTAGACAAACTCTGACTCTGGCTTTGGCTTTCGCATTGTTGGATGAAGTTGAAGTTTCTTCCATTATTGTAAATTGCTTTCAGTTTTGAGAATTACTAGTAGTCCATGAGAGTTTATTTTTATTTATACTATAATTAAATAAATAAAAAGGCATGCCTCAGTTTCATCAGTTTATTATATTTTGTTCAAGTCTTTATAGACCTTTTTTTGGCAGTAAACCAGGGGCCTTGTTTCCTGCTTTTCAGTGACTGTTATCTTTTACTGCTGGCATTGCCAGTAAGCCTGCTTTTATGGTTAACTGTTACCTATAATTAAATGGATGGATTGAGCTGAATTTGGATTGATTAAACCGTTCATTTGAGTTAACAAGAGTTGCTTGGACGATAAACACTCTCAATTCCAATCTGAAGGTTGTGAGTTTGAGTCACCAAGAGAGCAAAAAGGTGGAAGCTCTTAAGAGAGGTAAAATAATGAACATGCTATTAATCTGTTCAAAGTCATTTGAGTTGTGCTAAGCAATCTTTATTATGATTAGATATTACATATCAAATAAAAAACTATTTTGACAGGGTTCTTTATAGAGCTACATATCAATCCAACTTTTGGAACAACGGAATTGAACAGCAGATTTGGTCGGAATATATTTTTGTGACTAATTTTACAATCATTAGGCACGACCAATAAACTTGATTTTGCCGTTGCAATAATGACCCGTTTAAATTTAAAAGGATTGAATGAGTCATATTTTCGTGGACTAATTTAATTTAACATGATCAATAAACCTGGTTTTCTGGTCTACTGTTGCTGCATGTAACTGTTGCTCCATTCTCGAGGACACAAAGGGGAAATTTTGCATAACCTTTCTTGTTTTTTTACTATATTTTTCAATCTATAGAGTTCACACTTATCCTAAAATGACACAAATCCATTCATCTACAGTCAAAAGTTTCAGTGAGGAATAGCAAAAGCGGAATCTTGAAATAACGGTAAAACTATTTTTATGTGATTATAGTTTTATCCACGAGTTCAAGCTATGAATTCAATTAATGATGTTTATATCAATCGTCAAGTAAATGGTCTTCCCTGCATAAACTGGAATTGTACACGGTCTTTACTCAGATCTTGTATGAACATGGAAAGATTCATGCATCGAGCTGTTATTTTTTGTCAATAGGCGTTGTTTATAAGCACATTTATGATATACCATCCAATATATTTGCTAGCATTGAACTAGTTCTTGGAAGTTTATATAAAGCTTCAATGGTTTCTGAAAAATTCTTAATATTAATGCTATACTAAGATACATTATAAAACAATACGTAAGAATTAATCCACTTAACAGGTGGAGAAAGATGATTAGAAGGTAGAATTTTAACTTTAGCACTAACTTTGTTGAAAACTTAAAGACTCTTTACATAATGCTTTCTTTTGTCATCATCCCACTATGAATCGACAATCATTATAAAAAGCAAAAAATCCTTTTTAAGTATTTAATATTTTAGTATAGGTTAATGAGTAACCGTTCGTTACATTATTCTTTAGGCTAAAAAGTTTATATTAGTGCATTAAAGTTAAATCATGATCCTATTTGGAATAAGAATACTAATACTGATTTAAAACAAACGCTACGCTATAGATCAAACAACACAAAATCAAAGAATCTTTTCTGTGTAATGTTTTTTCAATTAATAAGTTAAAGGCAACCCATTTTATTGAGATTCCCATTGCCGGCCTGTTCTTACAAAAAAACAACAACATTTTTTTCTTCACATAAATTTAGTTATGGCATCAGTATTGAACCCTTTAACTTGTTATACAACATGGGTAAAGCTATAATTTTTATGATTTTCACTATGTCTATGAATATGATTAAAGCTGAAACTTGCAAATCCATTGATAAGGGTCCTGTAATCCCAACAACCCCTTTAGTGATTTTTCTTGAAAAAGTTCAAGAAGCTGCTCTTCAAACTTATGGCCATAAAGGGTTTGATGCTAAACTGTTTGTTGATATGTCACTGAGAGAGAATCTTTCAGAAACAGTTGAAGCTTTTAATAAGCTTCCAAGAATCGTGAATGGTTCAATATCAAAAAGTGATTTGGATGGTTTTATAGGTAGTTATTTGAGTAGTCCTGATAAGGATTTGGTTTATGTTGAGCCTATGGATTTTGTGGCTGAGCCTGAAGGCTTTTTGCCAAAGGTGAAGAATTCTGAGGTGAGGGCATGGGCATTGGAGGTGCATTCACTTTGGAAGAATTTAAGTAGGAAAGTGGCTGATCATGTATTGGAAAAACCAGAGTTGTATACTTTGCTTCCATTGAAAAATCCAGTTATTATACCGGGATCGCGTTTTAAGGAGGTTTATTATTGGGATTCTTATTGGGTAATAAGGTTAGTGTATTTCCTTGCTTTTTTGTTTTAAATATAGTTAATGGTCAAAAACACATATGAAGTTGCGAGTTTCCTACTTGAATTATCAGGTATACACTTTGTGTTTTGATAATAGTAGGTGATAATTATGGTAGGAAAAGTGAACACCTAATGATTCAGGTAGGGAACTTGCAAAAACGTTATACTTTAGGTGTTTTTTGATTGTTATCTTTTTTAAATACTGTTATTAACTTTGGTATGTTCTGTTTGATCATTGTTATTTCTGCTTGGTTTTCATGAAATAAATTGGTAAATTTGAAGTGAAAAGGTAAAAAAGGGAAACTGATAGAAGTTCAGCTCATACTTTTCACAAGATTCAATTGTGTTGCTTCCTAGAGAGGTCATATTGCTAAAATCTGAACTTTGATAAAGCTGACACAAAGAATTAGTGTGAACATTATGTACAGCTTTGTCCTCCTCAAAGTTCCAATCTTTTGTTAGATCTTTAAGTATTGAGGTTTCTAAACACAACTTTACATTCAGTTAATATAAGTATATACTTGAGACATTCCTTTTTGACTTGTAAGTAATCTTTTCTTTGTTCTATACTTAAATTAACTAGTTGAACAACATCAGTCTCATCCTTAAGTGTTTTGTATGAAGTGATGATGCTTGCAACGTCGCATACTGCGATACTTCCTGGAGTTTGTGTCATAATAGTTCTCTTTTTCTATGAGAAAATCTTATGCATTAAACATATTTGTTGTAATGCAGGGGTTTGTTAGCAGGCAAAATGTATGAAACTGCAAAAGGGATTGTGAATAACCTGGTTTCTCTGATAGATCAATTTGGTTATGTTCTTAACGGTGCAAGAGCATACTACAGTAACAGAAGGCAAGCATTCTTACATATTGATTCATAAAACTTACAGCTTTTAAGATGCTTGTGTATGTATTGCCTTTATGCAAAAGTTTCGGATTTTGGGGTATTTCAAACCAACTTTGAATGGTGAATTTTCTCTGTCAATAGAACCAACAGAACGTGCAAGCCAGTTTAACTTCTGAATTTGACCCTAATTGAATCACACATAAAATATTGCAGAAGGTGGTAATAACTAATAACACACCTAAGGGTGTAGCCTAGTGGTCAATAAAATGTGTTGAAAACCCTGAGGTCTTTGGTATAAATCTCAAGAGGCAAAAACGCTAGATGATTTTTTCCATCTGTCCTAGCCTTGGTGGATAGAGTTACTGGTATCTATGCTGGTGGGATGTAGCAAGTACTTGGTGGAATTAGTCGATGTGTACGCAAGCTAGGCTGGACACCATTATTATTTAAAAAAGAAGAATTTGCAGAGGGAGTAATTGTATCTCTTTCATATCTTAACTATTTTTCTGGAAAATCAGGATGTCCTCTTGTATTTCGGTCTTTTTTTTTTTACTGCAAGTTGTCCTCTCCCTAGTATTTCTGTTGTTTTTTTAAGGGGTGAGGGTGGGGTGTTAGTTAGTAGCTAGAAAAACCTTACTAGGACTGACTGTATGTAAGTTACCGTTATATGAGAAATTCAGTGTCATCTATTTTCTCTTTTCATGCTATGCAAATTCTTATTGTATCTTATGTTTCACGTGTTCAGTCAGCCTCCTGTCCTGGCCGCGATGATTGTTGACATATTCAATCAGACAGGTGATTTAGATTTGGTTAGAAGATCCCTTCCTGCTTTGCTCAAGGAGAATCATTTTTGGAATTCAGGTACTATCTTGTTTTTTATCGGTTCCTATTAAATAGTCCGATGCCTTTACTTGTGAATTTACTATAGTTTTTAGGCTTTGTTATGGTTCTTCTGGCTGAATTGCTTTTTGTTGGAAGCCTACGGGGAAGAATTTACTCATTTGTCAATGTCCACTTATTTGTTTGTTTAAGGAATACATAAGGTGACTATTCAAGATGCTCAGGGATCAAACCACAGCTTGAGCCGGTACTATGCTATGTGGAATAAGCCCCGTCCAGAATCGTCAACTATTGTAAGGCTCCACAACTCATATTCCTGACTTGGTTTTATCATGACCTTTGTATAAGTGTAAATTACAGGTTCTTTTTTTACTTTTTAATTGATATAGGACAGTGAAACAGCTTCCGTACTCCCAAATATATGTGAAAAAAGAGAATTATACCGCGAACTGGCATCAGCTGCTGAAAGTGGATGGGATTTCAGTTCAAGATGGATGAGGTATCACATTTCAGAAATTACAAAGCAGTGTTATTGTTCATTTATTCTCATTATAGTTTGATAATACAAAGAATGACTGGTTTTAACTTCTATTGCAGCAACGGATCTGATCTGACAACAACTAGTACAACATCAATTCTACCAGTTGATTTGAATGCATTCCTTCTGAAGGTAATTTGTGGAATCTCTGAAAATTATGCCTTAGAAATGGGAACTTGCATATAACCTGGCTTTTAAATTTGTCTAATAGATGGAACTTAACATAGCCTTTCTAGCAAATCTTGTTGGAGAAAGTAGCACGGCTTCACATTTTACAGAAGCTGCTCAAAATAGACAGAAGGCTATAAACTGTATCTTTTGGAACGCAGAGATGGGGCAATGGCTTGATTACTGGCTTATCAACAGCGACACATCTGAGGTGGTATATCTTGCATCAAGTCTTGCGCATGTCTTCTCACTTTGAAAAACTAAAGCATTCTAAGTTTTGTTTCGTTTATTTGTGATTTAAGGATATTTATAAATGGGAAGATTTGCACCAGAACAAGAAGTCATTTGCCTCTAATTTTGTTCCGCTGTGGACTGAAAATTCTTGTTCAGGTTTGCATCTATTTGTAATACTGTTTCCTCTGTACTCTCCCATTCTCGGAGACTTAAACTGTGGAATTGTAGGACTTTGTATGTCAAACCGAGCTCCAACCATCTGAACGATACATTTACAAAGCTAATACCTATAACATTCAGAAAGAAAGGAAGAAACTGAACTTAAAACACATGCAAAGCTTATCACCGCTCATCGGGTAATTCTAATAGAGTTAGTTGCCCTCGTAAAACTGCTAAAATTTTGACCCTGGACTTGTTTGGACTGTCCATGATGTTCTTACTAGTTTTTTCAAGAAATAAGTCAATGTCTTGTTTTGTTTTGGTCCCAAAATCAGTAGACTTTCTAAGTGATATTTATCGATATAGACATCGCTACTTGAGCATATAATGATGTTTTTGCTTTGTTATGATTGAAGATAATAATATCACAACTCAGAAAGTAGTTCAAAGTCTCATGAGCTCGGGCTTGCTTCAGCCTGCAGGGATTGCAATGACCTTGTCTAATACTGGACAGCAATGGTACATTGCTCATCTTAACTCACTGAGATAAAGGAAAGAATTCATGATACTACAGTGCCTTTCAATCTTTGATCTCTCATATTTGTCTACAACAGGGATTTTCCAAATGGTTGGCCCCCCCTTCAACACATAATCATTGAAGGTCTCTTAAGGTCTGGACTAGAAGAGGCAAGAACCTTAGCAAAAGACATTGCTATTCGCTGGTTAAGAACTAACTATGTGACTTACAAGAAAACCGGTGCTATGTATGAAAAATATGATGTCACAAAATGTGGAGCATATGGAGGTGGTGGTGAATATATGGCCCAAGTAAGTGCATGACGCAATTTTGGCACCTGAAATATATTAGTTAATAAATATTTTGATTAATCTCCTTGGAAAAGCAAATAGCTTGTTTCATTAACAAATTATTTTTCATTTACATTTATACACAGTTCTAGCCTCTTGCAGAAATGCAGGGTAAGGCTGCCTACAATAGACCATAGTGATCCAGCCCTTCCTCGGACCCCGCGCATAGCGTAAGCTTAGTGCACCGGACTGTCCTTTTTTACATTTACACACAGTTCTAACAGTTTGTTGTACTAGAGCTCTCCCTGTTCAAGGAGAAATATTAGTTGTCAAAGTGACTTATTGCCAAGTGAAATAGATAACATTTGCATACTCAAAAGTTTTGGTTTCGCTAATATGTTATGTTAAAGCTATGTTACAAGGTTTTAGGTGTACTTTGAATCATACAATAACAACATTCTACTCTCGAAAATCCAGAAAGTTTTGAGATGTAATCCTAGTTGGACATGTGTACTGAACTCGGGAACAGAGCTATAGTTCTACTCGCAGGTTTGGCAAAACCCAATAGCTTTGGTTCAGACCCTATATTATCCAGAACTCATTAAGTTGTCTTTTAATGAATCCAGGACCTATAAACTCAAAATTCTGCCTTCGGCTTTGACTGTACTAGACATCATATTGAGCACACTAAATCCATTTTTCTTTTAAAATGACTAATACTTGTGTCTGAATGCAGACGGGTTTCGGGTGGTCAAATGGCGTCGTACTGGCACTGCTAGAGGAATTTGGCTGGCCTGAAGATTTGAAGATTGACTGCTAATGAGCAAGTAGAAAAGCCAAATGAAACATCATTGAGTTTTATTTTCTTCTTTTGTTAAAATAAGCTGCAGTGGTTTGCTGATAGTTTATGTTTTGTATTACTATTTCATAAGGTTTTTGTACCATGGTCTATGTTATCGGATATTACCATCAACTATGTCGTTCGGACTCTTCAAATCGGATTTTGCAAAAATAATGCAGTTTTGGAGAATCCGATAACATAGACCATGCATGGATCTAAATTGTAAACAGCTTACTATATTAAGTAAAAGTAAGATGATTCCTCTGCTTTAATAAATGAACATAAGTTATTCTTATGATCCTTTTGTCTTTTAAACTTCCACATGCAGTATGTTTCTCTCTACGTGCACAAGGTAAGGATGCATATACATTACTGGAGACTAAATTACTAAATATGAAAATCTTTAGAATTCAGATATATCCGGCATAATTTGGAATATACAGACTCAAAAATTTTTTATAAGAGTTTCAATTTTATCAGTTCGAACCAAATTTTTACATAGTTTGAATTCACTAAGTTCAAATCCCACTATTTACCCTTTTTATCTAAATTGAAATGGTTTAAATAATTTCTTGAAATGACCCATGTGTTTCCTCATTAACCAAATTTCATGTGGTTTTTCTTTACCAGAAAATTTTCCAAATTAGTTCATTTGTCATATCTCCAACTAACTAAAGTTAAAAAAAAATTAGTTAAAAAAGAAAAATACAAAATCAAGGAGTTTGATGATTAAATTGCTTTTTACCCAAAGCATAGTAATAAAATCATGAAAACTTCCCCACTACTTAATTTACAGGTGAAATAATTAAAAAAAAAGTAAAAACAGATTAGACAATTCAGCAAAGGAGTCATCATATAACTTTCTGGTAGTCAATTTAAACAATAATGTGACAAAATAAAGGAAATATTATTAAATGAATTTCAAAATTTATAGCTTCAAATTCTTCAAAAGAAGAAAAAAAGGAAATTTGCTTTAAAACTTGGCCCTCATATTGAAATTAAGATAAAGTGAGTAACTTAGCTTTTTTTTATATATATTCTTTATCTACTTCCTCCGTTTCACATTAGTTGTCGTTATTTGTCGACATCACTAAAATATTCATCCCAACATAATTGTCAATTTACAAAATCAATATAAAAATAATTTTGAAAAATTATATTTTGCCTTTAAAATTACATTGAAAGAGTTGAGGAAATTTTGTAAAAAGTATTTTTTATTTATAATTTCTTAAAGAATGAGTGAAAGAAAAATACAACTAACATGAAAGGAGTATTAATTTGGTTTTTCTCCTTTTTTTTGGTTGACTTGCTTAAAAGAAAAAGGGAAATGTTAATCCTCCTTTTACATTGGAAATTGGCCATGGCACTATATTGATGCCAACCTAACACTAAAGTCTTGTCATAGAGAAAATAATTTAATGACAGCTCAATCCACTAAACCAATAAAATTTTCTTATAAATCAAACAGCTATATACATGATATATCCCCACGAGCATAGTGTAAAAAAAATAATCATGGTTTGGTTAAATCAAATCAATGTTTTTTTAACTGTTGATTTCATTGATCCCTTGATTGGGTACAAAGAACTAGTCATTAATAGTGATGTTAATGTAGTGGCAAGGTTCAATCATAAGTTCTAGAATCGAATAAAATTAAAACTACCTAACAAATTTCTTTTTCGCGATTATTTTAATGTCTTATAGAAAATTATTTTATTTGAGAATCTTTGAATCTATACTTATTTTCAATTATCCGAAGTATTTCGTTGATTACTATGCCCTTTTTAGTTTTTGAATGCTTATGTATCTAGCTATTATAATTCGCTCCTCCTTCACTTTTAAAGTTACGTCATTATAAGGTTATGTTAAATCATAAATGAATGATCTTATCAACGTTAGAATAATAAAGTAAAAATAAAGTTAAATACAAAGCAAACTCTTTTTCACCTTTTCTAATGTCCTAGGTGAAGACATCTTAGAAGGTTGTTTTATTCGAAAATCTTTGAATCAAAACTTATTTTCAATTCTACGAAGTATTTATTGATTACTATACGCTTTTTAATCTTTGAATACCTAAGTATCTTCACACGACTTTATCTCTTTGAAGAAGGACAAACTCTTCTTTATGTACACAAGTTTATGTATGAAACAAAATGACTTTTTCTCTTTTCCTTTCTTATCATAAGATACTAGCTATAGTCGATTGAATGACAAATGTTTACTTTCAAAGCGAAGATGATTATAATTTGTATGTCCTTCACCCTTCACTTTTAAAAAAGGTGATCGTAAATGGATCTCATCAATGTTCATAAAAAATTAAATTATACATCAATCATTGATCTTTTAACTTAAAACGCACGATATTTAAAATTTTGAATCTATCATTGTCCCAATACTAACATTTCTTTAAAGAATAAGCACTAATTAAAGGCATTTTAGTTAAGGATTAGGGAACTGTTCCAAAGACAATGGAGCTAGTTGCCTCCTTTATTTTGTCCAACAATAGTAGAATGAATTGAAAAAAGGTTAATAATTAAATTAAGTTAATTAATCTTTATGCTAAAATTAATTGTGGATTGCAATACGTAAGAGATGATCTCAGCAGATACATGCATAATTTTATGTTAGTGGTAGGGCAATTGATTATATAAATAATGATTATTCACTTTAACCAACACTTAAAAAGCCTAATTTTTTGGAGATTAGCATTAAAAGATACTGAACATGTTTGTTTAGGTACTAAATGATATGAACTTAATATTATAAATATTATTTTAATTTTTACCCAATCAGCAGTTAGCACCCACAGAATTGGAGGGTTGGGTTTGGTAATCTCTGAGCATTATGTTGATTTTTTGAGATTAAGCTATTTAATTAGTGACTTTATGACTAGATAAACCAAATTGCTTTTTTTTTCTTCTTTTTTTTACATTTTCATTTCTTTAATTAACTCTTCCTTCTTTTTGTTTTGTTTTGTGTGCTTGCTTGATTTACTTAATTGTTGATTTATATTGCCTTTCAAATTAGATTTAAGGGATAAATAACACTTAGTAATTGGTATATTTTGTTTTCAATCCTTGTGATTGTTTATTCGACAATATATTTAACGTTTAATTAATTAAAATATGTGTTTTGGTCTTTTTGAGTAAAAAAAAAGTTATATTTGACTTTATAGAATGATAGTATTAACAAATATGAAGTAAAATTTAAAGTTTAACATAACACATGAGAATGGAACGATTAATATTTCAGATAAAGTTGTGAATATTCACAAGCAAATGGGCTAAAAGTGCATACTTCATAAAATTGAAGGTTTAATATGCTTAGTCCGATATTATAATGATTATAATAAGAATTTATCAATAATAGAGGGCCAACAAATAATATATCAATCTTAGATTTAATTAAAAGGCATTATTGTCATAGGAAATATATAGTTGGTTTAGTAATTTTGGCATCTTGTTCCTTTTGTTTTTATCTTAATGAAGTAAGATTACAAGAAATAGTAGTTTAATTATTATAATTAATTAAAACTAGCATTTCCTAGAAAGTAGACAAATGATATAAGTATAATAGAGGCTTAATTCATAAGAAAATCAAAGGATGATTAATTTATATATCCTTCAATAATTTGCATAACTAAAAGGGCATAATTTATCATCATGGAAAGGTGGTTGTGGATGCAATATAGTAGTTTAGTCAAATCAAAGGATGATTAATATAATTGAAAAAAAAGATAGAAAGATTCCAAAAATTAAAACCTTAGTTTAATTTTTTATTTTAAAAAAAAAACTAATTAATTTCAAAGAAGGGTACAATGCAAGATCTGGGGTTCCCACATAAAAATAGTGGCAATGATTGAAGTATGGTAGTATTGACTGGCTCCATTTTGTGTTGCTTTCATTTTAAAATACAACTTTTTAATTTGAAATTTCAGATTTTGTGGATTTATATATAAAAAGTTAGTGGAAAAACTATGAAAATTGTCCATTAGCATATGGAGTGGAGTCCTATATATTTATTTATTTTATTAATCCGAAGTTTATTTCCTCAATATGCATGCAGTCAACTATTTGAGGCTCTTTGCATATTTAAGTTGAGCTAGGTTGAAGCATGTTCTCTTTAAATGGAGACTCAACTTTCGTTTGGACATGCGATTTGGATCATAATTTTCAAATTCTCTCCAAAGATATGATTCGGGATCCCAAACGTGCATTCAATATTTTTTTAATCTAAAACTTGATCTATAAGTTTATCTTTTATTAAAAAAAAAAAGATCCATTATTTTAATTTTGAAGAAAAAAAAAACTGATGCTTAGTGTAAAAAGATTGTTTGTACCATGTGAAAGAATTATAGTAAAAAATAACTAGTTACTATTGTTATTGAATAGTGAATCTTTACAAAATTATATGAATTTGAAAACCTGTAATCACAAATATTTATTTAGAAAAGAAATATAGATATATATATATATACACATATTATAAATGAACTATGTTGTTCAGAATATCCTGAAACTTTTTTTCTTGATCAAATTGATACTATAAATGATACATCGCTACTTATTTTATTGAATATACATTAAACATATCAGTATTAATTGTTTAGAATTGATATTTGGGTTAACTTGTACATATCTTGATTAATTTAATTACAATGTGTTTGCTATTTCATATTACACAATACTTGAATAAACTCTACTCATTAAAACTTTAAAATATATGAAAACAAATCAACTAGGGGTGGAGTATTTGTTATTGTGGGAACATTCTAAAAGAAAGCATGCATAATTACTCAACCCATTGGATTCCCCAATATTTTCTTTCTTCCTGTCCCAATTAAGCAGTACATTGCATGGCTTTCAATGCAAGTCAAAGGGGGGAATGAGGCATTAAAATAGATTCATCAAACCCAATGTTCAATTTCAAACACAATTAATGTAGAAATAATAAAATGTATATACTATATAGTAGCTCCTTAGGCGTTAAACTTTTAAATAAGTGAGGTGACGATTCAAAAGAGCATCTGACTAATTTGAATTTGTATTATAAAGATCCTATTAAAAAATAAATGTTGTCTATTCAGAATTTTTTTTTTAAAAAAATTAACTGAATCAAATTCTTTAGTGGTAAAAAATGGCATTTATGTTTACACTAAAGAAGAAGCAACATCTTCAAAGCTAGGAATTGCACCTCAATTACTTAATCTTTAAAAATAAACATATTTTTATGCATCCACATACATATGAATTGGTCCACCTTTGAGAGTTGAACAAATACTGGTCTATGAATGGG